GGATATATCTAAATAAGTATTGAAATTAAATAAGACAACAATATAATAGTTAAAAGGCAAAGTTAAAAACAATATAGAAGCAAAATACAAGACAATAATAATTTGAAAGATGAGAAGATGAACAGAGGTCCTTGAATTAATTAGGAGAAGGGTAAAGATACTAATAAGCCACATATTGATGCTAAAAATGTTAAGAGTAATCAATGAGGGGCGCCTGGGTGGCTCAGTCATTATGCGTCTGCCTTTAGCTCAGGTCATGGTCCCAGGGTCCTGGGATCGAGCCCTGCATCGGGCTCCCTGCTCAGCGGGAAGCCTGCTTCTCCCTCTCCCACTCCCCCTGCTTGTGTTCCCTCTCTCGCTGTGTCTCTCTGTCAAATAAATAAATAAAATCTTTAAAAAAAAAAAGAGTAATCAATGAACAGAAAAACTTCCAAACTAGTGGAGGGAATCCAGGAGATGAGAGAAAAAAATCCAAAAGATGGAAGAAAAGAAGAAAAAGGAAATAAAAACATAGAGAAAAGCAAAGAAAAGGCATTTTAAAGTAGAAAAGAATATGCTCAAGTAAATCACAATGCAATTAATCTCGATAAATATACATAGATTAAGCTTGTCAGTTAGACTCTCAGAATCCATATACTATCTTTAGAAGATACAGCTAGAGTATAATAATCTATAACAATAAAATTTAAAATATAGAAATATATATACCAAATACTATATGAAAGCTAATTTAGCTCTATTAGAATCAAGCCAAATAGACCTTAAGCAAAAACAATCATTAGGGACAAAGAAAGTGAGAAAATAATGTTGAGGAAATCTCCCAGACAGGATAGCAAAAATAGAAAGTGCTGGAAAATAGGAGAGAAGAGAAAAAGAAAATTAGAGGACTAGTCCAAAAGGTACAATATCTGAATGAAAGGAGCTCCAGCAAGAAAAAAAAAGTGGGGGAGAAGGGTGGAGATAATCATCATAGGAAAAAGAAATTAAGACATAAAACGTGCTTCTCCAGATTGAAAAGGGCCACCAACACTGCCCAGTCAAACTGATGAAAACGGACCCACACTAAGGCATATCATCAGAAAGATTCAGAACCCCGGGTTAGAGAGGATACATCAAACTTCCAAAAAGAGCACAGGTCACATGTAAAGGGTCAGAAATCCTAATTATCTCTAGCCTAGAGTATTATAGTTAGCCAAAGTCAATCATGTGGCAGGGGGGAGTAAAGAGAGATTTGTTTAAGAAAATGATGTTGATCGAATATTGCTCGCACCAATGTAATGAGAGAAGATGTAGACAACTGGCAGAGAGCTTAGTGTTTGAATTAGTGATAAGTACAAAAAACTAAGCAAACAATAAATCCAGCTATTTATCAACTCTGAGGAAAGTGCAGAAAAACAATCATAGCATGTTTAAGGTTCCACCATAAATAGCATATTTGTAGTCATAATGATATTTATTGACCCAAAAGAATGATATACCTGTATTGTGAGAAGGAGGTGATGAGAAGAGTGCATGGACATAGTAAGGGCTAGAACCTCAAATGCCACATTGAGAAGTCAAAACAAGGCCTAAAACTGAAAAACCAAGAGGTAGGTACATAATCTTGTTGTTTGCTGACGTGGAAGCAAATAATAAAAGAATCCCCTAAACAATTTGAAAGTGGTTGCCTCTGAGGCCTTTTTTTCTTTTTTCTTCAAAATGAGATACTGTCAGTCATTCTTCATAGCAGTTTTACCAACTTATAGTCCCTTGAGCAACGTATGAGTGCCCATACCATCACTTTATCAGTTCGGGTCCCCTACAGAGTGCTGCCAAGTCAGGGTTAGAGGTGTAAGTTTTACTGAGCTAAAAGTCTGGGAAAGATAAGGGAGGAGGGAGGGGCCTTCAGACCAAAATGCAGGTCTGACATGAGTGAAGGGGTATGGGGTAGAAGAGCCTCAGACCACAGTACAGGTAAATGGGGAGCCCCAGAGCAAAAGTTACTCAACAGAGGAGTCCTGCATTGAGAAGGACTAGACTAAATTATAATATTGCCCCCATTCTTAATTATTGGCTAAAAGTAGCCTTGGGGAAATATGGCCTCGGTGTGTGAACTGCAGCAGATGAGAAAATGCAGCAGTTGTCAGTCAGAAAAAAAAAAAAAAAAAAAGCCTGGGAGCTGGGGGGATGGGTTAGGCCAGTGATGGGTATTAAGGAGGGCATGTATTGAATGGAGCACTGGGTGTTATACGCAAACAATGAATCATGGATCAAAAACTAATGATGTAAAAAAAAAAAACAAAACAAAAAAAAACTAATGATGTAATGTATGGTGATTAACATAACATAATAAAATAAAATTTAAAAAGCCTTTATTTATAGCATTTTAGGCTTTCTAAGTGTAAATACTCCCACCGCGGTCAGTTTCAAGCTACTAGTGTGACAGCATAATGACTCACCAAATGAATGCTGAGTTTGGAAAAGATGCTAACAATTGGCTTTCCCAAACCAAGAGCAGGTTCCAGGAAGCTATGAACCGTGCTCCAGACATCAGGTTTCCATGAAGGATGAGCTAAGCAGTGCACCTTCTTAGCTACTATACTCACCAACCTAGTTTGTTAACAGAGTTTTTACTGCAACAGTGTGATAAGTGAAACTGGTATGTCGGTGTAGTCTGTAATTTTACTCTGCATTTTACTTAATATGCATGAGGCTGAGATCTCTTGTTACATTTATATATTATGTTAAATGCGTTTATTATTTTGTAACATATTTAGTGTATTTTCTATGAGCTGAGCCAATCTTTTGATTATTGTTATTAAAATCCTTTTATGCCTATGTTCTAAATAACTGAAATCTTAATATATTGATCTTAATATTTTAATTCATATAGTAAGTGAAATACAAATACTGCTTATCATCTCATCATATTTCACATTTTCAAAATTAACTCCTTTCAGAGTTAATTCACCCTTCAGAGTTATTCACCCTTCCAGAGGGTAAACAGGAAAGAAATAAATGTACCTTTATTTTTTTCTCTTTTTTTATTTTTTTATTGTTATGTTAATCACCATACATCATTAGTTTTTGATATAAATGTACCTTTAAAAGCAAGTGTAAATGGAATCTAACATTAGGAAACAATTTACTATAATTCCTCCTTTTTCTGTAATTTTTAAAGTAATGTATACAGCATCAAAACACAATATCTACACTTAACTTTCAGGGAAATAGTTTTTTTAATATTATTAAAGTTAATTGAGTGTAGATATTTTATGGGGAAAAAGTCACTGAATAGTTTCTATCTACCTCCCAACATACATAGAGTAACAACAACAATATAGTAGAGAATTTTCCATCTGAGCAGTCTACAAGGACAGAGTAGAATCTTTAGGGAAATTAAGTTTGTAATATTATCATTATGAACACATTTTAATAATAGATGCATTCTATATTGACTCATTTTTACATTATTAGTTGAGATTATTGGTTGCATCCTATCAGCTTGCTATAGCAAGTTGGAAATCATCCACTATTAAATTAAAAGCTACGAAGCTCTGGATGAAGTGGTCTTTTAAGATATTACACATTTTTAGGGACACCTGGGTGGCTCAATCGGTTAAGCATCTGCCTTCAGCTCAGGTCATGATTCCAAGTTCCTGGGATCGAGTCCCACTTTGGGCTCCTTGCTCAGCGGGGAGCCTCCTGCTCCCCCTGCTCGTGTGCACTCTCTCTCTGACAAATAAATAAATAAAATCTTTTTTAAAAAAAAGATATTACACATTTTTAGTATTCTTTTAAGATTAATTTTTTTAGAGAGAGAGTGTGTGCGAGCAGGGGGAGGAGCAGAGGGAGACAGAAAGAATCCTCAAGCAGACTACCCGCTGAATGCAGAGCCCGATGCAGGGTTCAATCCCAGGACCCTGAGATCATGACCTGAGCTGGACCAAGAGTCGTCTGCCCAACCAACTGAGCCACCCAGGTGCCCCCCACGTTTTAAGTATTTCTAGTTGTGCAGGTAATACTGAACGAACAGGACCTTGAACTAGACCAGACATCAGAAGTCATCCAATATAGTCTCTAACCACAAATGTACTTAGACAAAATTTAAAACAAAGGCTATAAAGAAGAAACCAAACAGGCAAAAATTTGAGGATTTTCCATAAAAGGTTTTTTTTTATTTCATGTTAACTCAAGCACTGCTACCATTTTTATCTGGAAATAAGGAGTCAAAAGATCTATGGATGCAAAGAATGCTACTGTTTTCCAAAGAAAATACATCTATTTCATCTCTCTTAATCAATTACCGAATTCATAACTGTATTTGACCCCCAAATGCTCTGCTTTTCTTCTGTTCCACCTCCTCCAACCACAACCTCCACTTCTTCAAACCACAACTTCGAACCACAACCACTGTCTTAGTAATTGGTATTAACAACCAGAAATCAAGAAAAAGAAGCAGATGAAAATTAAAGTCATTGAATATTATAATTTACGGCAAGTAGGGTGAAGGCTGAAAGTGGTGGCTAAAAAGAAGTTTGGATTGGGGTGCCTAGGTGGCTCAATCGTTAAGTGTCTGCCTTCGGGGGCACCTGAGTGGCTCAGTCGGTTAAGCGTCTGCCTTCGGCTCAGGTCATGATCCCAGGGTCCTGGGATCGAGCCCCACATCGGGCTCCTTGCTCTGCGGGGAGCCTGCTTCTCCCTCCCCCATCCCCCTGCTTGTGTTCCCTCTCTCTCGCTGTGTCTCTGTCAAATAAATAAAATCTTAAAAAAAAAAAAAAATGTCTGCCTTCGGCCCTGGGATTGAGTCCCGCATCAGGCTCTCTGCTCAGCGGGGAAACTGCTTCTCCCTCTCCCACTCCCCCTGCTTGTGTTCCCTCTCTCACTGTGTCTCTCTCTGTCAAATAAATAAATAAAATCTTAAAAAAAAAAAAAAGAAGTTTGGATTATCTGTAAACTCCTTTTATCTTAATTTTCTCAAAACATACGATCCACAGTACTCAGAAAAAAAAGAAACTTACCTCATCCACATTTTCAAAGGCATTGATGATGTCGTAAGGTAAACAAGACAACAGATCGATCACAAACCAAGTTTTCAGATAGTTCATCCTTATCAGCTTGGGGTCAGAAATGACCTCTCCACCAGGTCCCACAAAGGTCGTGTGAAAATTTAAAACAATGTCAACCAGAAAGATAACGTCCACCACACTGTCCAGCACCAGCCAGGCTATGTTGTTCTGCTTCGTTTTGAAGGAAACGTTATAAGGAACCATAATGGCGGTGTAGAAGGTAAGAATTAAAATCACCCAATCCCAAGTAGTTTTAAAAGCACAATAGTGTAAAATAATGTGTGGTGGCGTCTTTGGCGCTTCTTGTTTATACTGAGGAAGGATATCTGATCCCAGCTGAAGAACCTAAAAGAGAGACAATGTGTATATAAATGACTTGAACATCTCTGCACAGTTAGTAATGAATTCAAACTTACTGGAAGTCAAACCACAGCGTATTTTTCATGACTCCTGGTTTCAAGACCAGTCAAACCCTAAGGTTTTGTCTCCCTCTTCTAAGTTGTACCAAAGTTTGTTTAAAGGAAGTTAATCTTTCTGCTGTTCTATCTGGCTTTCTCTCCAGGGGCCAAATGTTGGTTCATAAACTGGCCCCCAAACACCAAGGGCAAGGAGAGAACAAAGAAAAGGGCAGACCACTCCAGATCGTTAGGTGGCAGTTTAATAAGCAAGGGGACATACTTAAAAGGCTTGTCATAGGAAAGGGTAAGACAAGTAGACCTCTGCACCCACCTACCAGAATCTTAAAAGCTTAATAGATACCCTAACTGGATCCAGTCACATACACAGTCCAAATGGTCTCAACAACATCCTACTCTTTCAAGGCTATGTCCTTGAAAATGGCTCCCACTGTGGGAATGGTTGGCAGAGTGTACATTCCAAGGACCAGAATGAGGAGCCTCCGATTGCCTGGGTCCAGTTCCGGGGTCAGCCAGCAGTCATATACTCTCAATAACTTCCTCCAACACCAACATTGATCCACAGCACGGCTGGACATCCACTTCTGGGATTGCTTTTTGTATACTCACTTGCAAGCCTGCCTAAAATCACGCATCTCTGATTGTCCAACAGTTATTTGGGTGACTCACCATTATCCATCTTTCACACATATTTAGCACCTCAGGGAGCATAACTTTGATTCTGATGGCCTCGCTGAACCCCAGGACCACACTGTTGGTGATCTTGCTGTTGAGTGGGACTCAGCAAGGGCCCTAATGAGCGGCATACTGATAACAGGGTTGTAAGTGTTATAGCCTGCTTTTTCCTTTTCTCCCTTCAAACAGGACTTAAAGAATTGTGTTTCCTATCCAGATGCATATTTGCTTTGGAAAAAAGAAAATGCTAAATACTCAGGTTTGCTTCTCCATAGCTTTTTGACAGATGGAAAAATTTCACTGCAAGGTTATCTGAACCTTGACTTACTCTAAGCAGGTCTAATTAAAGAGACAAAGGGAAAACGCAGATGACAGAGCAAGAGTAGAGGCCTGGGCACTGCTGGGCAAAAGTAACAAACACAGAGTTAGCATTGCTTTCCAGGACCTGGAGCTTGGAAACTGTGAAAAGGAGTTGAAGGAATAGATCAGAGAGCTCTGTTCCATGCCATCAATGAAGGTAAGGCTGAGTAAATCTATGTGTTAAGGAATTTGTAAATGGGACTTTGATAAATATTTCCAGCAGCTTTGTCATCTTATATACCCAAGTGTTCATCGTCTCTAAGACTAATGGGATCCAGAAGGTAGCAGTCAAAATGTTATCATAAGGTTATAAATGCATTAAATATTTGAATATAAGAATAGACATAAACAAAAATACCTATTAGCACATAACTCATACACCACAAAACGAAACAAATATACTAGCACTTCTTGAAACTCGACAATTATCCTGAAAAGTTTCTCTTGTGCATAGAACTTACATAACTGAAAACTAAGTATATAGTACCCATTATTAATATTTGAAATGTGAAAAACATCACTAGTATTCTCAATAGTTGGGTATTATAACTATTGTTGTTTGTTTGGGGGCTATCAGAACTATTTAGAAAGATTTTTATGTATTTATCCTCATTATCAGTGCCCCAGCCATATTTCTCCCATAAGGCCTTAGATTACTTAGCAACAAATTTTCCTACCAAGAATGTAAGCTTCATGTTGGGATAGAACTTTATGTACACAGAATCATACATAATCATGGCTTCTCTTTCTCTTTATAGCCACTGATCTATCCATTCCAATTTTACTGTGTTAAACATGAAAATTTTCTTCATAGTCAATGTTAATATTTTACTATCTGTATTTACACAGCCTATAGCTGAAGCAAAAAGAAATCAGACTAAGAAAATAAACTCAAGTGCCAGGGTGCATTTATGACCTTCATGGGCCCTAGGCATTTTTGCCTTCCTGGACCCCTTTCTCCATAAAAAAAATAAAATAAAATAAAAATTGCATTTTACAACTGCCTTGTTACAAAGAAGAATAAATTATTATAAATCCAACTTTTTTACCTAAAAGTTCCATTTTTCCTTCTACTGTTAATAGAAATTCGGACATCCCATGGACCCCTAAAAATGCTATGGTCCCACACACTGCTTATAGACAAGTTGACCCTGCTCAGCACGCTGGCAGAACATAAGATGTCTTCTCTAGAGATGGAATTGGATCACTCCTGAGGTTAGTATTCCCTAAATCTGGCTACAAACTAGAACCATCGGGTGAAATTTTTTAAACGATGATATACTCATACCTAGAAATGCGCCCCCACTGACAAAAATTCATCTTGTGCGATCTATGTTTTCAAAACCTTTCCTGAGTGACTATAATGTACAGTCCAAGGTAAAACTCTTGTCTGATATTTCCTTAGACATTCAGGACCCAGCTCTTCAGACAGTGACTTGCATATGTAAAAGGATCCAGAAATGCTAGAAGAGGGGGAGGAGAAGCCGGCAGAGAGAGAGAGGAGGAGGAGCATGGCATCAACCACAAAGGGACATTCATGCTCACACTTTGATCTCTCTCATATGCACAGCACGACTTTAATCTTCACTCTGACTCTGGGGTGCTTTTATAAAGCAGTGAGTAACAATCCTTCATTTTTGTTGCTAGTCCACTTGTACTTTGAGAAGTGATGAGTCTTAGGTGGAGGGGGATGAAAACACATTTTCGGATTATTTTTGTACCAATACAAACACGTTCTTTCTCTCTGAATATCTGGGAGCACTGACACTGATAGAATCAGAACCAAGGACATGGCATTGGTACAGATATTTATCTTCACCCCTGTAAAAGTGAAAAGCTGAAGCCAGTCAGCAGGAAGTCAGTTCTTGTGGACAACTGATGAACTACCTACAAGGAGACCCAGATCTTTGAAACTGGGAACTGGCTCCAAATGTAGGTGTCCCGATGGCATTGTGATAAAATTTATATGTCCTGGAAAAAGTGAAAACCTGAAGTTCAACAGCAAATCCAAATAGTCAGGTTGAACAAATTATATGACTCTGAGTAAAATTTTTGAAATGATATCCTTCTGCTAACTTGTTGCTTCTTTTGGGTCCAACTTTGGGCTAAGAGCACATGCAGACAAAATACCTTTTGAAAATTCTCATTATTTCTTCATGTTCTCTGAAATCAAGCCTATGACCTGACAGAAAACAGTTTTGTATCGGAGTCAGGTTTGTGAATTAGAGATGACCAATAAGGAACTATCAATAATCCAAAGGCAATGCAAAAATAAAATAAACTCAGATGGGCAGAAACAGGGGTGAAATTTCTTCAAAAATAAAAGTAAAAAATCATGTGCTATTGAGGGGAAAGAAACTTCCCACTTGATGCAGAAGGAAAAAACCAATGAATGTTTCAGGGTGCTAAGGTAAAAAATTTTCCTCTCTATGGTCCCCTTCCTCTGTTTTTGCCCAGTTGTACAACGGAGGAAAGAAAAACTCTGAATAAGGTATTGTTAAGACCCAGAAGGAATCATGACTATGAAAGTCAGCAGTCACAGAAACATGTCCCTCCACTTCAGCTTGATTTGTAGAAAAAAAGGGACAACTCAAGGGAGAAAAGAAAGCTTTAAAATCAAGTAGTACTTTATAACAAGCATCACTGACAAAGGAAGTTGTATCTAATAGCCTGCTTTAAATCTTGTCCTAATTGCATATTGTTTTTTAAAATATTGTGATTATTATTATTAGTTAATATTTAATTATGTTAATGTCTTGCCTGGGCTTTTAAAAACCTGATTGCACATCTAAGTATTAATCTCTCCCCAGGCTAACAGTGCTATTTAGAGCAGAAAGCCTTCTAAGTCCCCTGTTAGCCATGATCCAAGAAAAATCCAGAGTCCTCCAAATTCAAGGAACAAACTTTACTTCCACACCCTCTCCAAACCAAATTTAATATCTGCCACTAGTTTAGAAAGTTACTCTGGAGCTCTTCAACTCACTTTTCTCCAGCAGAGCAAACTGATGAACATATATATTTAATTTCATCTTTCTCTTCTTTGGTAAGCTATCTCAGAATATTCTGTGAGTGCCCACTAAGTGCTTAGCCAAGCTTTTGTAGTTTAGTTAGCTTTTGGCATCATTCACACCAGGAAGACAAGTGATGATTACAGAAGACACATGAACAACAAAGATTTTAGCGGCCCTGGAGTTCTGTCCTCAATTCCTTTTCTCTCTGGTTTCAATATACTTTCTCTGGGTAACATCATCTAGTCCTAGGGCACCAAGGCCTAAAATTCAGACCCAGATATCCCTCCAGAGCCAGACCCAGAAATCCCTCTGCCTTTTTTCTTTTATTATTATGTTATGTTAATCACCATACAGTACATCATTTGTTTTTGATGTAGTGTTCCATGATTAATTGTTTGCGTGTAACACCCAGTGCTCCATGCAGTACATGCCCTCCTTAATACCCATCACCAGGCTAACCCATCTCCCACCCCCCTCCCCTCTAGAACCCTCAGTTTGTTTCTCAGAGTCCACAGTCTCTCATGATTTGTCTCCCCCTCCGATTTCCCCCCCTTCATCCCTCCGCATTTGAGGCATCTCCACTCGGATTTCCTGTCAGGCACTTTAAACTTAACATGCCCAAAACTGAACTCATTCCCATTGCCCCCAAACCTTCTCTTCCTTCTCTTATATTTGTCATTTTATTAGCCACAGTACTATCTATCCAGTTGTCTTTGACTCATCCTCTTTTTCACATTCAATTCTTATCTATCAACAAATGTGTTGACTCTAATCTTGGAGTGTCTGCTATCTGCCCATTTCCATTTCCGGTTTCCTTGCTTAAAGCCATGGTCAATCTAGCTGATTTACTCTTAGGTTTTCTTAACTAGTTTCCCTATCTACCCATTCAACACAAAGCCACTAGGTTTTTAATAATTTTTGATTAAATCCCTTTTGGTAATCTGATGAAATCTATGGACCCCTTCTTAGAATCAAGTTTTTAAATTAATACAAAAAACATGGCACTGCAAAGAAAACCATAGGGACCGATCTCCCTTTGAGAGGTTTCTCCAAAGCATAAATGTGATCATATCATTTTCCTGGCACATGGGACACCAACCACCATTGTTTCACTCTACATAACTTTAACCTTTCCTTCACCTGACTTCACCCACACTGAACTCATACTCAAAGTCATCATAGTCTCTCATCTCTGAGCCTTTGCACATGCTGGTCTCCCTGGAAGAAATGACCTGCATCTCTTCTTTACCCATTTCTCATATTTCTCCTTCAAGATTCACTCACCCCAGGTATCATCTCACTCAGGTAAGCCTCCCTAGAGCCCCTAGTCTAGGTAAATGCTCTTGTATGTGTTCCCACTGCACTCTATCATCCTATTTATCATATCCTATTGTCAGTTTCTTCTGCTTGATCTTTAGTTCCTTGATGGTAGAGCCCATTGCTTATTCATCTTCACATCCTTTGTAAAGTATCAGGCACAGAGAAAACTCTCAATGAGTGTGTGCTGCATACATAAACGGATAAAATGAGTGAACTTCCTATCTCATTTACTCAAAGAAAACCTCACCCTCTACAAATACCACTCGGGATGTCATGAACTAGTTTCTCATTTCAAAAATACGAGAAAATAAAAAGAAACATTTAAAATTTCTATAATTCCATAAGGGAAAAATAATTAGAAGATAAGTACTTGTAAAATAATAACCAGAAATACCTACATTAAATCATTTGGGGGGAAAAAATGTACCACCACCACCATCTTGGGAAGGAAGGTTAGTCTCCCACTTACTTCAGCTAATCTTGAATGTTTGTGGACCACCTCTGTTTTATTCATTGGCGTGAGCTGCTGCAAAACACTTCGGCTATTTGTCAAAGCCCGCGTCAATCGGGCAAATTTTGTCCAACCTTAAAAGTAAGGAGAGAAAGTCTCAGTTTTTCACATATAATGAATATGAAACCCAACATTCTTGCTAATATTCAAAGGATCTAAGAAATAGCACAACATCCAGAACTAATAAAAAGTATCAATCTAAAGCATTTTATTTCTGCATAAACATCATCACATTTCAAGTGTAGCTATAATGAGTAATTTTTATATGTGACCTTTGTGTTTTGCTCATCATATCTATTACATAGTCTCAGTAGCCAAGTTATAGCTGCCCACAAAATTCTGTGCTCCCCCTTGCATTATATAGATTTGTTACTGGAACACAGCTGCCCGGCCATGAATATACTTCCCAGCATTCCTTGCATCTAGCTGTGTCCATGTCCCCAGTTCTCATCAATGGAATAAAAGCAGAAATGAAGTGTGTCACTCCTACACATGTGCATGCCGCAACATAAGAAGCAAGTGAGACTTCTCTACACTTTCTTCCTCTTTCTACCAGCTGGATGCAAGTGACAACAAGGCCCCAGGGAGAGGTACTGAACCAGTGCACAGAAGATTGCCATATGCCAAGGATCACCTGCCTCGGACTGTAATGTGAGCAAGAAATAGCCTTCTGTTGTGTTAAGCCACTGAAAGTTGGGGGTTGGGGTATTTATTATAGACTAATAAAAACAGTTCTACTGTGCCTTGTGTGCAGATATATACACATAAGAAAATGAAGCCCAATTTTGACAAATCTCACATATTATAGTTCCTATCACACTTCCATCTTTTCTTGTTACATAGAAAAATCTTATTTCTCTCTTAACAACTACAATGATAGCTAAAGATCCTTCCTTAAATATCTAGAATCCCTAATATTATTTTCTGAAAGAGTAGTAACTTTAACTTCTGGGGGAAAGGGATGTGAATTTAATGAGAAAGAAATTTCTTCTGAGGGCGCCTGGGTGGCTCAGTTCAGGATCCGCCTTCGGCTCAGGTCATGATCCCAGGGTCCTGGGATTGAACCCCACATCGGGCTCCCTGCTCAGTGGGAAGCCTGCTTCTCCCTCTCCCACTCCCCCTGCTTGTGTTCCCTCTCTCACTGTCTCTCTATCAAATAAACAAATAAAATCTTAAAAAAAAAAAAATTTCTTCTGAGGCCTCAAATTCCTGTTATTAAAACAATTAATTTCAAGGAAATATGAATAAGTAGAGCAAAACTAACCATACTCTGGTCCTATTGCAATTATCCTTTCTCTACATATCCCAAAGACTCTAATTTATTAAAGAGTCCATTAAGACCACGTGATAATTTCTATGCTAGTGCCCCTAACTAGGTTATTTGTCAAATAACGCCTTAACAAGGAAAACTCCTGCTGGACCCAAGGAAAGACTGTAATGGCAATGATGAAATTTCAAACAATGTGACAAAAGATGAAGGAAGAAATCCTGGACAGACACCTGTCAAATGTCTTTCAAACTATACTAGGTAGATGACATCATACTTTACTACCATTCTTCAGGCTAATTCTGACTTCAGTTAAGCTTTGTATTTCCCTACCAATTCAGCTCCCTCTATGGTATCCAACAAGTGGATTAGAAAATAGGTAAACTGGCATCAATTGGTAGAAGGTCCTTAACTCTTAATTAATGGACTTTATCCTAGTGACTAGAAGAAAAAAAATGTTAGGCCTTGAGAATTTATGCAACCCTAAGGCTAACCCTGTGTAATGTGCTAAAAAAATTTTTTAAAAAAGGAAGCCCCAGATATGCCACCAGCTCTTAAGAACTTAACATCAATGTAAAAGACCAATATGCAATCTTTATCACCAATCTAGACTCTTCTTCTGAGGACTAGACCTATCTAGTATCTAATCAGCCATTAGCCACCTCCTAGTAAGATATTCTATAGGCATCTGACACTCAACATGTCCAAAATTGATCTCATCATCTTCTCCCTCCATCTCCAACTCCGCATCTTTCATGTATTCCTGGACTTGGTGAATGGGCCCATGATACTTCCATTGCCCAAATCAGAAACTTGAAATTTACCATCCTGCTTCACTATTATCTCCACATCCACATATCCAATCACTTCTAAGCCTTATAGACTATAACTTATTAATAAATACTCAAGTTGAATCTCCTCTCTCCATCCCTATATGTCAGACAGTGTATCATCTTCCACCCGAGCCTCTTAAAGACTATACTCTCTATCTGCTCGCTGACCATATACTCCCCAAGCAACTCTCTACATTGCTGCCAAAGTGCTTTCTAAAGCACACAACTGGTCCATGCCCTTCCCTTATTTCAAACTCTTTAAGAGACCCCCGGAAGTCTTCAGTATAACATTGCATATCCTTGGTATATAGGTCATTTAGTTTCTGATCCCAAAGATTGCTCTGCATTCATCCCCTTCTACTTATTCATATAGACTCTGTATTCCAGCCCTACTAAAATCAGTAGCAAATTAAAAGAAAAGAATAAATTTAAAACTAAAATTAAATCTACTAAGAATTCTCTGTACACCCCATGATATTCAGTGCTTCCAGGCTTTCATGCATTTACTGGCACCTCCGGACTCAGTTAAAGCATTATCTCCTTCTGAAAGCTTCTCTGATCCACTCATAAGAGAGGTACACTCCTCTGTGCTTGCACACCATAAGCTATATACCTCACACGGAACGAGCAACACTAATGCAGTTGTTGATTAACATGTCAGTCACTCTCACTATTGTTCATCTCTCCATAAGCAGCACTTTATCAGGGCCTGGCCTAAAACAGGCCATTAATTAATTAAGACTTATTTTTAACTTTAAAAATCAGATTTAAAATAAGCCCCATTTTGTTTTATTATCATTGGGTTTCGTTTGGTTTGGTTTTGCTTTGTTGGGTAAAAGTGGTAAGAGTATCTTCAGATGACAGTAACAATGTTGGCACCTGAAATATTTCTTGTGATCATTTCTCTTTCTTACTTCAACTGGATTTATAATTGCATTGAATATTTCTAGAAACTTACAAGGCAATGTTATATATAAGTGTATATATATATATATGTGTATATATATATATATATATAAAATATAAGCTTCATTTTCCAAAGACAAGTGATGTTACACATCTTAGTACTTCTGAGTACTGGATTTAGAAAGAAGCCCATTTTTATTCCCAGAGTTCAATAACGTTTATGCAGAAAATATTTTGAAAAAAATTAAAAGAGATATTGAAGGAATAAATTCATTGACATATGGAAAAATACAAATCATCAAATGGCATACATTCTCTCATTTCCTAGGATAATGGCCAGGGTTAGGGCTTTCTTATAGTCCTCAGTTCTAAACAGTTAGCATTTTTTTCAAGACCCCTATACCACCCCTTTCTCCTCACTCTCAGATTACCTTGTCAAATGTTATTGAATAAACAGAAGCCATAAGAAACATAATAGATAGCCGTCAATTTCCCTTCTGTCCCCTCCATCTCAAGACCCACCTGTATGGCACTGATTCTTGCCTGCACCTTTATCATCTCAGAGTAGTAGACATTTGCTCTTTTCTGATCATGCATATGTTCTATTCATGAACATTTAAGTAGTTTCTAGATTTTTCATTATCACTAACAACACCATAGTGAATTTCCTTATGCCTATCCCTTTGTGCCCTTGAACACATTCAGAATTGCCTATGTTATTAACTAAATTAGTTCATTTGATCTGTCACCAACCCCCACTATACAGTCAAACTTTGAAAAAGTCAAGCAGCCATACTGTCTAGGTCAGAGAAAAAAGACACATCAGCAGTTCTAACTTTTCCCAGTGATACATTTACTGATCTCACCTTTACAGAGACCTCACTGGTGTAAATGATTATTCAGCACAGTTCGCTGATGTTACTTAGATGTGGTCAATATGGGGTAATGTGAACAGACAGCTGACTATGAAGAGCCTAGTACTTGCTCTATGAGTTGTTCATGGAATTATGAGAACATTTGTTCTCCTAAAAGCTCAGGATGCCATCTCCTTCTTAATAAAACATTAGTTTAGCTCTATTGGGTTGCAATTAACCTCTTTGTCATGCGCTGCCTAATCTTAAAAATAAGAGGAAGTCACAGAGGCAGTTAAATCAATCTATTAGACTGCAACACAAGATTCTAATCTATACGAAAAAAGCTTAGGTAAACAATTATACTCTTGGCCAAAGAGACTACATGGCATAATTACTCATATTTCATCTGTTGTTTCCTCTCTAAAGAAAACCACTGGCTTCCCACAGGGGAAGGTTGCTATTTTTGCTGTTAGCTTCATTCTATAAGAATTTTTTGTCTCAATTATTGGCATGAAGATGCCATAACTATTTGGCACAGGGTATTTCACACTGTGAGTGGCTTGGCAGTTTTGGAATCTGTTTGAAAATACCGTACAGGATAAATGGGCAGAGATTCTGGCCATCTCTTTTAGAACACATATGGATAATCAACGAAATGGATTTCTTGGCTGTAATTTTTCCCCTTTGTATTATTACAAATGATGAATCAGGTACCATTGACTGATTATCTGAACAACAGTTCCAAGACCTCAGTACCAGGAACAAAAGATAACAAAAATGCTTTGCCCCCTTGAATTATTATCAGTAAATTTCTTGGTTCAAAACAGTTCAATTCTGTCAGAATCAGAGTGTTCTCAACATGTGCTTAATTGCTGTAGGAAAAAAGGTGAGCAGGGTATTAATGTGGCCAAACCACAATAATAAGTTTCCACTGGAAAGGATGAGACAGCATGGTGCAATACAGAGAACATGGGATTGGAAATCAGTCACACTTTGCATGTCAGGATCTTCAACAGTAAAACAGAGATAATGATACCAATTTTCAGAATTATAGGAGAGAGCAATAAAGAACATAAAGTTCCTGACATATAGTAACTACTCCGTCAAAACTGGATTCCTTCCCCTTCGATGGTTTTTACTACCATCCTTCATGGTATAAGTCAGAGGTATCACTGACATCACTCAGTGCCATTCTTTTTAAGGGAAAAAAAATC